GAACTCACAGAAATCTGCCTGCCTCTGCCTCCTCAGTGCTGGGATTAAAGGTGTGCACCAACCACAGTCTGGCTGCTGCTGTCACTTTTACAGAGGACCAGGGTTCAGCTCCCAGGACCCACATGGCAGTTCACAACTGTCTGTAACTCCAGCTCCAGGGGATCTGATGCCCTCTTCTGGTTTGCAAGGGCACTGCATGCATGTGGTGCACAGACACAAAGCAGGACTAAAACCCTCAAATACAAAACTTTTTTTAAAAATATTTAAGAAAGTAAAAAGAAAATAAATGAGAAAAGCATGGTAATAAAAATTTAAATGACACAAGATAAGGAATTAAATTATGTTATATGATAAAGCCTATTGTTTCAAAAAGTATAGAAATATAAAATATCAAAGAATAGTGTAATTACTAAAACTATGAATGCTTTCTTTTCTACCAAATGGTTATCTTACTACTTACCATATTTTCTTTAACATTTCACTTAAGAGTGTGTGCACACACCATGGCATGTATGTGGAGAGCAGGGGACAGCTTGCAGGAACTCTCTTTCCAGCATGTGGGGTCTGGGGTTCAAACAGATCAGCAGGCTAGGAGGCAAGCATCTGTACCTCCTAAACCATCTTAGTGGCTTCATATTTCCATACTTTTCATATTTTTAAACAGAAAAAAATCTCAAATGAAACTCTGTTTATTTATGTCAACCTTAGTTTTCCAAAATGAACTATCAACTGAAAACAAAGACTTTTTTTAAACAAGGCTGATTTTTCTTCTTCTTTTAAAAGACATCTAAATGCATACAAAGGGATTAGTGTCAACATCAGCACAGCAATTTGTTACAAAATGAAGGCACTTAACCCTGGATAGGAGAGGGTAATAACAACCTAGGGGTCTGTGGAGATGAGATCCTGGCAGAGAACCAGCTTGTTAGGGTGACAAGGAGCATCGCAGACAGGGTGTGCTCACACACTGGTTCCTCTAGAGAATGGGATCACCCACTCAGTCTACCAATCCTTGACTTCAGTTGCCTCTTACACAGAGCTCCATCTACAGCTTCAGTCTCACACCAGGGAAAATCAGATCACCGAACCTCAGCAACTTCTACACGGGGCTTTCAGGTAACAGGAAAACCGCCTGTCACTAACTTGTCCTAAATTCCACAGTGTGTCTGATACTCAGGAACTGCACGGCGTCACCACTGTCTTTACCCTTTAGCAGGCCACCCATCGTCTCTTTCACCGAGCCCTACTGGATTGCATTGCCTTGTACTGAATCATATTTTTGTGTTCATTCATTGGAGACAGGGGCTCATAT